TGCATCTTTAATTGAGCTTAGGAATGTTGCAGCCAGACCCAAATTCCGAGCGAAGAAAAAGCTATAGTTTACCAAAAGCCAGATTTGGCTTCTAGTGGGTCCATGGATTTTTAGGAGCCAGGTAAGGCATCAGCCTATAATAAAGCCAGGTAAAGCAAGGACAGAAGCTAGTGGTTTGTCAGCAAATCTGCTCGAGATTTGGGAGAGCTTTATAAAAATAGTTTTAGAAAGTCGTCACGTTTTAGAAAACGATTTATTAGCTGCGGAATAGTTGCGAAGCTGATCATTTCTAGCCACCAAAACCAGCGATATCAAGTTGATTTGATCGACATGCAAAGTGCTCCAGATGGCGATTACAAGTTTATTTTCGTTTACCAGGCAGATTATTTTTTTTGGTTTTTCAAGTTTAGCCTTGTTTATTTTTGTAAAATAAAAACTATAGCACCTTTTTTTATTTTTGCTTTTAGACAATGGCAGAGAGTTTGCAAATAAACTCTTGGAAGAAGCCGTCGCTCAATGGCCTGGTTGCAAGATCGTCCACGGGAAACCGCGCCATCACAAGGAAGTGTAGAGCGAGCAGGCTCGGATATCGAGGATTAGTTTGGCTGCTCATTAATACTTGTGAGGTATTCCAAGGTCTGAGGCGTTCTCAAAGGAAAAACTACCGGTGGGCCCGATTTGCCCTTGATTTAATATCGAACTCGGTACTAGTTGGATTTTCCATAGATTCATTCTCGGTTTGGACGTGGCCCTATATGTTGCAATGTTTGGACGAGACTCGGAAATGCTCAGCGATTACTAAGGAAGAAGTAAGTTTTGAAATATTTGTAGGTCTGGAATATTTGGAGTAAACTGTGTGGATTTAGGTTTTGTCGGACGACGACGATCCAGCAAAACAAACATTGTACCTACGAGGAGGGAGGAGAAAATTTCAGGTTAATTTAAGAAGCCTTGTTTTTTTCTTTATTTTGCAACTTTAGGAAGATGAATTCTACTCGTTACGCCGATCTACGACCTGTAAGCTTCATGGATTCATTGAGAGTGGTGTTGAGGTATAAATTACGTTTTAAATACATAAAGAATGCGTTATTGTTTAGAGATTTCCTGAATTCCTCAAATCAGAGGGTAATGGCGCCGACTTTCAACTTCAGGATTGTTGGTCCCAGCCATACTTGGTTTGCTTTTATAAAATTTTACTAAGCATTATTTGGCTTTAGGGTGTTCAAAAGATGAGGAGCAAGCGGAAATCCGTTGTCTTAACGATTCGATTATGGTGGAAAGACATGGAGCCCAGTCTGCTCAGGAGAATCAGGCACGAAAGGTACTTCACGCCAGTGAACAAAGGTACTTTTGCGTTTTCAATGTTTTCATTATGATTACTTCTAGATTTACACCAATTGATGTTGGACTTTTCAAATTCAATTCCGGACGGGGAGACATCGTTGAGAACTGCTGTTGGGGCAGCATCCGATCTCCAGTGAGCCAAAGGTAAATGACTATTTACGCCCTATAGTCTTGTTAATCTTCTTTTTTCTTTCTTTTTTCTTACAAGAATTCAAACGTTTTTACCTCAGATAAAATATTATAATTTTAGGTCACGCTCATTGCTTGTGCCTGAGCGGATGTACGACAAATCGATGTGCTTCTCGAAAGAAGAGTCTACTTTGCAACTCGAGATGCCACCATGCAAGAAGTTGTACTAACAAGTGATCTTTTGTTTTCTTGTTTTGGCTTTCTTTTCAATTTCAGAATGAGCGCTTTTCCAGTAACATGCATTATGTGCGTAGTAAAAAGAGGTTTTGTTTAAGTTGATTGTTGTTTGAATTTGTTTTTCATTTAGTTTGTTTGTTGTATCTTGAAATTCAGACAGTTGCTAAGTGATTTTATTAATGTTGTTACTGGTTGTATTGCGGATAAAAATTATTTATGTCAATCAATCTTTTTAAAAAACTAGCTTTTGATAAAGGCTAACCAAGGCGCAACAATTGTGTAAGTATAGTTCAGTGTGCCAGATAGCTAGTGATTCTAGTTTTGTATCGTCCGCAAAACTGAAACCCCTTCTGAAAACCCTTCAATCCTTTTTGGTCCTTTTCATTTGAGTAAAAAGCTCAATAATTTATCTAAAGTTAAGAATTCATTTGATTGTTTTTTTGATGATTTATGCCTAAATGTTTAACAAATTGTTCAAAATCGTTTAATATTTTCTCTTAATCTCAGCATCGAGCAGATCAATGTCAAAAGATAGTCTCGTGCGGCCGGCTTTCAAATCCTTCAACAGGGTGCAATTCTCCAACGAAACCGTTGCTGGAAGATCAGCTTCAGCATCAATTTCCATAGGCTCGCCCATCTAAATATTCAATATAAAACGCTCACCTAACACTAACCAAATTCTTTAAGTAAAATGGAATGAATTCTAAATTTAAGCATTTTCTGTTTGAGTAACTTTAGGACCAACGTATAGAATGACTCACGAATGGCCGAAGAAACTTATGATCGAGGCACGCGTCAGGGGAGAATCGCTTCTTCGGATGCACCAACAACATTTGAGTGATTAAATCGCAAAGTGAGTTCATAAATATCGAATCATCTTGAGGATTTCCCCATCAAAATCATCGATTCTCACGAAAATGTAACGCTAGTAGAATCGATGATCGCAAAAATATCAATAGTCATCTCAATAATGACGAAACTGTTGAATCTATAGAAGAATTTTCTTAAAACTCATTTGAGAAATTGTTGATTTCCCGAGACAAATTGTTTGATTGATGTTGATTTCTCGAGAGATTGTTGATTTCCGAGAGATGGTTGCTTTCTCGAGAGATTGTTCCCACTCTAGGCCTCTCACCGAAACGACGTCTATAGTTTGGGCTTGGTTTGCTGGGAGTTGGTGGAACGAAGGTTTCTTGGCTTTCCAATTTATTGAAAAAAACGTTCAGGCATGCTTTCGCCGAGTACGGAATCACTCATTTTGATCATTATCGCTTCTGGATCGACATCTACGGGAAAGTTCTCGGGAACATCGAAGAGCCCACGTGTCAGGGCACGCTCAAAGAACTCATTAAAAGGTTCGTGAAACTCTTTTTTTGAGTCACTTTTCGCTATGAAAGATCAGAAAGGGTCTACAAGGGTCTTCAGACTAGCCTAATCCTCAAAATATGCCGCAAAATTCGCTCAAAACCAATTAAGTGCATTAAGTGTGCATTTCAAATTTGCCTTGTCTTTTGATGATCTTTCAGATTTGATTTGACTTTTGATGATCTTTCAGAGCAGCCAAGTTGACAGCCGCAATTTAGTCGGAATTTAGCCGCAATTTAGCCGCAATTTAGCCTCAATTTAGCCACAATTTAGCCGCAATTTAGCCGCAATTTAGCCGCAATTTCTCTTTTCGTTTCCAGTTGCACGACCTTTGATGCGACGGCACGACCGATCGCCTATGAAGTGACGGTGCTTCTAGAACCAAACGCGATTCGTACGTTTGCACGGCACCGAATGCATTTCCTTTCGTTTAGAATGACCGCGAGCTAAGGAACTACGACTTTCTCCCGCTGATCGACGAGCATCAAAAGGATCTGATCAGACCTATCGGGTTTGATGGAACAACGAAACTCACGCCGATCTATTGCTTGTTCTCCGACGCTCCCAGCATTCAGTTCGATTCGAATTTCGCAGATTCTGAAAATCCTGAAACCACTGGAGCTCTTGTTCAAGCAGAGCAACTTTGAGAATAAAGAATTTCACAAAAATCGATCTCCATGTGAAAGAACGGGACAAATTCATGAACAAGTTTGCTTCGCTGAATCAAGAAGAGAAGCAGAGAGATTCATTGAATCCGTTCGGGGATCCTCGAAAGAGAAAGAGCTTCGAATCGTCTTTCACTCGTATGATGACATGGATGTGGAGCTGGGTAGCGCGAGAGAAGAAGGTGGCTCAATCGAGGCTTTATTTGAGGATGTGCTCCTTGGGATCTCTACATGCAGATGCACCAGTTCCATGAGGCTATCCAAACCCTCCACCAGCTCTCCTCATTGACTTTCGAGTTCTGGCAACCGCATCGGCAGTTGGCCGAGATGATTGAGTGGCTGACGGACATTCGGAAGACATGCTACACACAGCAGGTCTCTTCCGCTGTTATATGTCGGCGCACACCAACGAGGGTGGCTGCTGGTAGGGAAGGACGACGAGGAGTTTCAATCGGACAGCTTCATCAGGAAAGACCTTGACATGATACGGATGATCTATGGGGAATTGGGTGGAGACCCTGACAGAGAAGTGTTCATCTCGAGAGATGCGTGGAGAGTCGAACTGAAGAGGCTGAAGGATTGCGAGTATGTCAACGAAACTGACCAATCCGATCAAGGAGGCGCCGATTTGGCAGAGATCGAGAAGTTACGACGAGTTCCGCTTTCTGCGCGAGGCCCATCGACATCTATATGCTCATTTCGGCGATGGACGGGCAATGGTACGACTGGAGAACGCGATTCGCTGCCAAGTCTCGAATTGGGTCCCCCGGAGATGCTGCTGCCTGACTCGCCAACTCTTCCTAAGCGAGGCGCTCGATTTCCCCGATACCCGGCCATCTTTCAGTATCAAAATGGGCTTTGTCGATTGTGAAATTCATCAGTTGTTAACGTCGCTTGTTGTAAATTTGTCCTTTCCTCGTCGTTTGCATCTGAATTTAGCAAATTTACCATTCATGACTTTATCATTGGCGACCAATTGGCGAACTTAACAATGGCAAATTTCACTTTTGATTGACCATGCAAGATTGACCATTGACGAAACTCAAATCAGTCATCAAATTCCATATTTCAGCTGAGGAACCCGCCCCGATCAGTGTGCATTCATCAGCCTAAATGCCCGACGATCGGGGAATTGCCGAGTTTCTTCGAGAAGTCTTTCAATTTTCCGGAAGGCCACCAACAACAATTCGAGTACGAGTGCGCCGACGAGAGGTTGCGCGAATATATCCACAATTTTCACTGCTTCTGTGACAGGCTACAACGGGCTGCCGGCATGTGGGCCGGTGCTGAGAGCGGCTTCTCCATTCTCGATGAACCACCCCAGCTTGAGGGAGGAAAAACAGACGGAACGATTTTTGCCCTATTATTTCATCTTTTGCTGATCGCCAGGGGGCTACCGGTGACCGATCCACAGGCCTTAATGGTGCTGCTCGATGATCCGAAGAATTATGGAGCCAGGCGAACAGATTCCGTGCTTCGATGAGAACAGATTTTACACGATCAGTGCTGGAAGGGCAGCCGAGGAGCTGAAGCGAATGGATGCGATGAATTCGAAAGTGTTTCTGATGGCCGACTGGACGAGACGGGGCTGGATTCTGAGGGAAGACGGACAAGTGTGGAAGCCAGAAACGAGCTCATAAATAAAGAAATTTCCATGAAGTTTCCCTTTTGATTTTCGTACAGTGTAACAAGACACCACAATGCATGGGTTTTTCGGAAAAAAGCACTTCTGTAGAGAACGATAGTTAAAGGAGGGGGCACATCCGCGCGAAACTGCGTTTTCTATCCGATCCACATGTTTGAGTATACATTCGATGCAGAAAAATGTCCTGAATGCTGATGGTGAAAAATTTTCAAATCCGCCTTGTGGCTTTTTTCTCAAAATCGCATTTATTTTTAAAATCCGTCATTTCACACACGGGACTGCCGGACTCACCTGTATTTGGCCCTCCCACTACCCGGTGAGAACAGAAATTCGGAAATGCCAGGGAGTCGACTTTGTAGAGTTGTTGTCTGCGGTCATTTGGAGACCAAAATCGTATGAATTGGTCAACTCAAAACAAAGTTATAACAGTTTGGGGACAAAATGACGTCTTAGACGAAAGATTATTAATCGCGACCGGGGGTGACATGACATGATGATGACAATCGGAGAAGCGGTTACAAAGATGCCTTGGTTGTAGGAAACTTCCACAAATGGGACAAGAAAGAAAGTTTGAATGGAAAACAGTGACAGCCATCATCCGTTTTGATTCTACTAATTATTCTCTCGAACTCGTTGGTCCAATGGTATTGTTTATTCCCGGCACTGAGGCACGGACTGGTAACCTTGTCTTGACTGCCACTTTGGCTTTGTCGGATCACGAATTGTAAGTCACTTACACAATTTTTGCGCCTTGAGGTTATCCTTGGTCAAAACTAGTTTTTAAAAAGATTGATTGACATAAACTCATTTTTATCCACAATACAACCATTAACAGCATTGTAAAATTAGTTAGCAACTGTCTGTTCCAAGATACAACCAACAAACTAAATGAAAAACAAGGTCAAACAACAATCAGCACAAGCAAAACCTCTTTTTACTACGCACATAATGCATGTTACTGAAGCGTCATTCTGAAATTGAAAGGCCAAAACCAGAAACGAAAGATCTTGTTGGTAGAAGTTCTTGCATGGTGGCATCTCGGAGTTGCAAAGTAGACTCTTCTTTCGAGAAGCACATCGATTTGTCGTACATCCGACTCAGGCACAAGCAATGACGTGACCTAAATTAACAATATTTTAGCTGGTAAACATTTGAATTTGTAAGAAAGAAAAGAAAGATTAACAAGAAAGATTATAGGTGCAAATAAATGTACTTGCAACCTTGGCTCCCAGAGATCGATGATGCCCCAACAACAGTTCTCAACGATGTCTCCCCGTCCAGGTTTTGAATTGATCGAGAAAGAATTCAGCTCCAC